CCCCCCCCCCCCCTTAGTCTTAAAATAGGTTCTAGTGCCTACTTCTGTTCTGTTTTGCAAGGATGGTTGTCGTTTTCTGTTTCATCAAAATGGTGGAAATGTTTGAAAATAAGATCCTGGATAATAGAACAGTTGATTTCAGGATTCCAACCATTTTTTTTTTTTTAAATATGCAATCCAGGTCAAGCACGTCATCAGTTGTGTGGGACTTTTAACACCTTCCGATTATTTTGGTCAAAGCTTCATAACAGACAGTGTTCTGGAAACAAGTGCATTTAAAGTGCATCTGTTTTTAAGGTTATGTACAAAGGATTATAGGATTGAACTGATTAGTATATTGGAGGTTTGACTGTTTTTGTTGCACTTGGAGAATTCAGATTTTTCTTTTTAAACACTAGGTTCGTTTTTTATGGTTGAAGAGTAATATACTTAAGATGTAAATCATGTAGTCTTTTAATTTCATAAAACCTTCCTAACTATGTTTTCACTTTTTACTGGTTGTTTCTCCAGAATGAGGAGGATAGCAGCAAACTAGTCTCTCATCAAAACAAAGTGCAATTACCACCGTTTATGAACAGTTTTCTTTGTTTACAGGTGTCAGCTGCGATGCATGTTTAAAAGGAAATTTTCGAGGTCGCAGATACAAGTGTTTAATTTGCTACGATTACGATCTGTGTGCATCTTGTTATGAAAGTGGTGCAACAACAACAAGGCATACAACTGACCATCCAATGCAGTGCATACTAACAAGGGTAGATTTTGGTAAGTATTGTATCTCATTAAACTTGTGATTAATTTTTTGAGCTATATTAAACACTCAATACAGTGACATTGCTGTATTGCTTAGAAGTACTCTTTTAGTGTAGTATGCCGGAATATAAGTTTTTTTAAGTAAGAACTTTTTCCTTTAAAAAGTCAAGTTTATTTTCCTTGGTTTTCACATGTGATGTGTGTTTTAAGAGAAAGGAGAAACAGAAGACAGCTGACACACAGATGATCTTTTTAGGTATTTGAATATACCTGTGTAGATTTAGCAGAAGAAAAACAATTTAATTTGGACACTTTTGAATAGTTGTGTTAAGTGAATGTGAACAAGGCAGTGCTTCTAATTAAGAATGCCATCAGTTAAAAGCAATGGGAAGGGGATAAACTTTAAATTTTGACTGTTGCTATGGGGATGTTAACACAACAGTGGCAGTACTAGGTTGGTGGGCAGATTAGTAATAAGTTCTACCCTGTGGGGATGACTTGAAGTACAGCTTGGTATTTATAACACTTCTGTTTGGCTGAGAAAAGGTACGTTCATGATAAATAATTGTTTTATGATTTTAGGGGTTCTGACAGTTTGGCTTATTTTTTTCATTATTATTCTAAACCTGCAAGTGAATTTTTATTAATAAAACTTGGTGAAATTCCATTCAGCTGTTGACTTTTGTCCAACAACAAAAAACAAAATTTTTTTTTTTATGCTTTAAGCAAAAATATCTGCTTTTCTTGAACATGAATAACAACAAATAGACTTGATTTTAAAACTCATGCTTCTGTGAAGTTTGAGAAATAAAATTAGCCAAAATGCATGGATAAGTGAATGTGGATAGCTGCATATTGCTTACATGCATTCTTTGCAGATTAAGTATTCATAGACAGCAGATAGCATTTCTGGATAAGACACTTTCTCAACCTTCCCGGAGAATACCACTTACTCTATCCCCCGTGCAACTTCTTAGCCCCTTTTGATATCTTGAAAGTTCCATAACAGTTGTCCTGGAAAGTCTCATGGTTCCCAAAGCTTGAAATGTGCTTAGCATAACATACAAACATTCAAATGCATTGGCACCTTACAGTTCCCAATCCCCTCTCCCCCTTTGTGGGTTTTTTGTTGTTAGTTTTCATTTTCCAATAAAAGGGACAATTATACAGCAGTACATTAGTTCAGTATTATGGTTTACATTTTAAAAAACACAATTAAGTTATGTTTCCCATGGCAACCATTTCTCTTGTATGTTGCACTTTTATAATTTAATATTTTAATATGAGCACCATATGCATATTAAGACCAAATAATTCACATAAGCAAGGGGACTCGGTTATGCTTGGTGAGTGACATCATTTTAAATTGCCTAATTCTGTTCTTGTAAAGTTTTTGTGTTTAATTTGATTTAATTTTTGTATGATCTTTTTTACATAAGGCTAAAAAACATATATTGTCTTTGGAAATGTGTATGATCAGCAAACACTTCTCAGTTAACATGCACTGCAGTGTTTTAAGAATTAGGGTCTTTTTTCAATCTGTGCAAGGAATCCAGGTAGGGGGAAGATAGAACACCTACAATGAAACTGGGAGGGAAGCAAACCAGAAGAGGTTTAGAAGAGTTCTGGTCCAATTTGTAAAGGGGAAAAAAAGTTTCTTTATGGTAAGAAGAGAACCAGTTTCTCTGTTTTTGGGGGGGGTTGTTTTTGTTTTTTTACTAGTGTCATGTGGTTTGGTATTAGAAGAATAACTCATTTAGAACCAGTGTTAATAAGTGGAAAGGAAATGCTAATCTTCAGCTTTTAATGAGACTTCTAGTCAGAAAGTAATGTAATATATGGAGAGAACATAGTTTTACCAAAGTGTGTAAAAGCTTGGAGAAAATGAGGCAACCCTTTTAAAAGCTGTGGAGAACATCGCAAGAGACTCTAATCTTTGGGATTTTAAACATGTGACTTTCAGAAGAATCCTAACATTTGGTCTAATCCTGGAACAGGGGATACAGCTAGCACAGGGGTGGACAATTACTTGGCCTGGAGAGCCACTTAAGAAACTTTGGTAAGCTAGGGGAAGGGGGGCAGACAGTTGATTCCTTTCCAGCCCAGGCTGCTCCATCCCAAACTCACTGCCATGTGTGCCAGACAGAGGTGGCAGGGTTTCCATCGAGACCATCCCAGGACCCCCATAGGCAGGGCAGGCTCAGCTGGGTAGATGGGATGGGATGGGATGGGGCTGCTGACAGACAGGGACTGGTGTCCAGGAGCAGGATGGGCAGGTGAGGCTGGAGCTGGGGCCAGGATTGCTGGGTAATGATCGTGTAGGGCTGGGGCCCAGGACAGAGCTGTGATCCACTCGCCAAATGCCTGCCCATAAAACTAGTGCCCATCACAGAAGTGCGTAGGGAGCTGGTTGTGGCTTTGCACCAGGCCCCAGCCCTGTGCTGTCACCACCCTGAGATCCTGGCTCCAGTGCCTTGCCTGCCCATCCTGCTCCCAGACAACTCCCTGCCCACCAGCAGCCCCATCCCATTCGTCCTCTGAGCGCACCCTTTTCACAGGTTCCATGGGGACCCTGCCCGCCTGCCTGCCTGTTTTGTCCAGTGCTGGGTGTGGGGCAGATGGGCTGGAGTGCCTGAGCAGTGGAGCTGGGGCCAGGAATGGCAGTGATACTGGCAGCAGCATCCAGAAGGAGCTGCTGCTGCCAGGAAGCTGAGTCTGGCTGCCATGCTGCCCCAGCTCTGCTGTGCACCTGGGAGCAGTGGGACTGGCCACACATGCCACAGCCCAGGCTAGCCCCCACACCTGGGCTGGGCAGGGCTGAAGGCCCTGAGTTTTCTGAAGTCAAAGGTGAAGGGGAGCAGCTCATCAGTATAGAGCTGTTTCCACTTCCAAGGAAGTGTGTCCATAGATAAACTTATAAACAATTTTTTTTAAAATCAAAAGAACTTTTTTTTTTTTTTTTTAAAGAGATGAGCTTTGGCCCTTTTAAATAAGTTCACGTTTATTCTCAGTGGCCTGAAGTAGGGAGAGAAACTAAACCCAAAATTCTGCACAAATGACAAGATGAGGTGTACATGTTTGACGGCTTTTTTCCTGATTGGGGCCAGTCCAGGTAACTTTTACAGCAAAAAAAAAAATCCATGGAGAGAGAGGTCACAAAACGTTTAAATGAAGTCTGGAGGATGATGATTGAAAAATGGTCAAGTTTAGCAAAAACCATTGCAGAATCTATAGGAAAAAGATAGATGCACTTTATGTGCTTAGCATAGGCTAGAACATGATAATTCTGGTGCTCCCCAAATGAAGTAAAAAATGGATGGCATGGTCACATCCATATATGAACAGCGCAAAAAAGCTTGATGAAGCAGTTATGAGAAAAGCTTTCTTTTTCCCCTTGTGAAATAGTGCAACTCTTTGTAGATCCATTTAACAGATTCTGGCAAGTTTAACTGCATCCTGGAAATGTGAAATTCACACCTTCTGCATGGCTGTTCTGAAAGTATCTATTTGTTGTTAGAGGAATACTATACATTTTCCAGAGGAAAACAAGTAAGATTCTGTTGTTACTGAAGGAAGTAGAAGTTGATATGGCCAAGCACAGATGTGCTATTCAACACTCCATACAGAGAGTGTACCAGTGTTCCTGCCCAAAGAATCACTTCAGAAATGATCCTCAAAAAAACCTAACATCCTTTAAGTGCTTCATTTTGAAGTGCTTTCTGAAACATCTGCACCAAGCAGTGATCATCTGCCATCCCAAACTGCTTTGTGAGAGGGGGAAGGAGAGTGGGGTGGACAGTCAGTGAATGGTCCATTGCCCTCAGGAACCTTCAAGGACTGCAAGCTGATGCGTGCAAGCATGCTTGCTCTCCAAATGCCTGGCCGGAGACTACAGTCACTGCTTGCATTCACAACCATTTTGAAGCACTCCAGGGGCACATATCTTCACAGCACTGTAGAATGCTCAATTTGGAGTGCATCAAATGCAGGTTAAAACATTTAAGTTTAAACCAACAGTTTCAATTGCCTTTAAACAAAGTATATGCTGTAGTGGTCCCATCTGTTGTTCTTGGAAATGATGAATAGTAAAGAGATACAAAGAATAATGCCCACAAGTCAAAGCCATACTTGAAATGAATCATTAAATCCTGATATGGTATCTCAGTATGATAAAAGCACTTTGCAGAGGTCATTATCTTTGTTCCCATTTTACAAATGAAGAAATTGAGGCACAGACAGTGTTTTGTCCAAATAGCTAGTGACAGAGAAGAGAATTAAATTGATTTTCCAGAGTCTTAGTCCAGTGTTCTGCCACTAGTTCGCATTGTCTCCATATGGCCATGCAACAGTTTCACAAAGGAAGAAGCCTGTTTGCAGGGTCTTGGATACCTTCAAGCTTTTGATAAACAAGCCATGCATTGTATCATTGAAAATAAAAGATTTAGACAGATTCCTGAAGTGTCAGAGATTGTACGTGTAATGAGATTAACATATTGTTGTCAAGCATGGTGAGATCCTGGTCTACCGTTAGTGCTTCTAGGCACTATGAAAATGTTGCAGTGTGTGTACCAGGGAAATTCCAAATAGTAGCTGACAACTTGAGGACCTTAGAAAAGGACACTTTGGACAACAGGGCCTTAAAAATGAAAGCTGGAGTGATTGTTAAACAAAGGTCTGTTTTGGATTTGTATGTATTCAAGCTCAGCATAGGCCAGGACTTGAAATAAAAGGTGGAATATTAAATATTGAAGAATTACTTGAAGGAACCCATTCAAAGAACTGTATTTTCTGAAAGGTCTCAGAATAGGATAGTGCTGCATCTAGTGCATTCACCAGAGCTTTCAGTTAAAGGAGAAAATTCGGAGACGGGTCCTATACAAATTGAACAGGAATTTTCACGTTTTAGAATTTAATAACTCAAATGAATCGCGATGAACAAAACCCTCATTGAAGCTAAAAGATTAGATCTAGTTGAGTGGTGAAGTTTTCTTACTAAATAGCTTTCATAATGGTAAAAATATTAACAAGCAAATACTTAAAGATATGCATGTTTCTTTCAGTCCTTAGGAAAAAGCTAGACAAGAAGGTTGGTGAAAAGTGTTAGCTGAACATTGCAGTGAAACAAACACTGGCTTTGAGGATAGTGCAGTTTTACTTATTTTAATAAAATTCTGTGGTCAGTGTTAGAAAAGACCAAGTATTTAAGATGGGGGGTGATCCTCTGCCTTGAGGATAGTGTAGGATTTGATAATCTTGTGGGGTTTTTTTAATGATTCTGTGTTGGGGGGGTCAAAAGTAACATACTAGTAACTAATATCTGTACAATATCAATTTTATCCACATGCATGTATGATTGCAAATAGGAAAAGAAAAAAGAAAAAATAAAATTCTAGTATATATAAGAAAATATAAAATTCCCCTTTGACGTACAAACAAAGTAAAATACCATCTTAACAGTAGATGAAGAGGGAGAATGCTATAATTGTTGTGATATCTGCTTACAGGCTGGTTCTGTGAGAGCAGTCCTAGGGTATTTCCTCTCTGCTTGCTGACCTCTCTTAGCTGTTCTTCAAAATGACCTAGTTAAATCTTTAAAAATGAACCAAATACAGTCTGTAGCTGTAAGGCAAGCTTGATTATTCTGACTGAGATTAAATCAGAAGTATGGTTCCCAGAGTCAGTGGACTTGAGGCAAAGGTCTGGTTTGCACAACCCCCTAAGGATTAAAGTCTACTCTTGAGTGCCTTCATGAACCTTCTTTTTGAGCAAGTTCTAACTTTCTGCTCTCTTATTAATTAATGTCCTTCCAACATTTCATAAGCACAGAGAGTGGGATGGGGTACTTCCAGGCTTTTTTCTGAAAGCCTAATTTAGTTTGAAATGAGAATATGGATAATCAAACTAATACTAATCCATTATCTGGTTTCTTTTGTTTTCCCCCCAAATTGGACTAGTTATTCTCTCTAAAGTAGTGGCGAGCAACAACTGCTTCCTTTTTTCTTGGTGAAGAAGGTGTTATAGGCTTATTTAAGCAGGATTCTGAAGAGCTGTAAACCTTGACCATCTTATAATTTGCAACCTAGAAAAGATTGCAGGATGTCAGTGCACCAGAGGGGTATAAGTGGAAAGAAGGATCCTTCTTTGGTCAACTACAGTATATCCTACTAGGACAGTAGTCAAACTGTGGCAGAAAAAAAAGATGACCTCTGTTGCACAGCTCTACAGGTTCCGCGTTCCCATATTTCCTCTAGCTGTTAAGGGCTCAGTGAATGTATCCTCTGAAAGAGCTATGGCAAGTGGGTCCTGGAGCCTATAGTTATGTTACCTGGAAAAAAATGCAGATTTTTCATTTTAACAGAGAAACGTGCAGATTTTGCTCTTTTGCAAAGAGTTCTCTGCAGGCTGGCAGAGTTCCAGCCTGCAAGGAGCTGGGGGGAGCAGAAGGGTGGCAGTCAGGCAGGGGGCACATGGCTGCCAGGCAGCCTGGAGAGCAGCTCCCACAGGTAAGTCTAGTGGGGGGAGGTACTGAGGCCCCCGTATGGATGAACAGGGGGAAGAGTTGAATGGGCTTGTGCTGGGGAGGTCCCGGGGGAGGGCAGCAGGGTGGGGAGCCCAAGCCCACAGCAGGCAGCCCCCCCCCCCCTGAATGGGCTCCGTTCCAAATTTCAATAGGATTTCCAATTCAGTGGGTAGTTAATGTGGTGTGCAAATACAACAATGTAGTCGCAAGCTTAAGGAGAGGTATAGAAGAAGGTGTGGTGTTATATGAGTCTGAGGAAGATTCAGCAGTGCATGTAGGAGATGGAATGAAGGTGATTTCATCCTGGCATCTCCCTTTACTGAGCGCCTGGGATTTACTTGCTACACACAGCATCTGCCTGTGACAGTTGTGATGTGTGCTGTGAGTTGCCCACGCCTGATTTACTGAAAGCATATTGCTTTTGGTAAGGACAGAGTGTTGGGCCACCCATTGAGTTGTATGGACCCAGGAGATGGTTTTCTTTTGAGTGGTGGATAATTCAGATATGTTCAGGACTGTACTCTGTTTCCTAAGTGGGAGAGATTTTCCTTTATGGTCCATGAGAAACCTTTTTTTTTTCTCCATTACACACTCTCTAACTGTCATCCCTTGGTATTGTATAGATGATTCTGGAGTTGCATAAGAAAATCTCTCCCAGGATAGAATTAGTGGTGCTGTTTTGAGACTGAATTTCAGTGATATTCAAGTTTGTTGATGCCTATGCGAGTCCATTCTTCATTGGCTTTGCTGCATGGGAACATCTTGGGAACCACAGCTACTGCTTTGACAGCTCCATGGTTTAATCTCTGTGTATGGCATACACTAGTTGTCTTGTCCCTGTGATGCTTTATCTTTTTGTGCCATTGGCCTTTTTTGGAAGGAGGCATTGAGATGGGTATTTCTTTCTGACATTGCCACCGAAGAAGTGAAGGGCTCTTTGGGATTGTTCTTTCTTTAGAATTTGGGCCTATTTTTAACACTTGACAAGGATTTTTGAACTCTCCTAGAGGAGGAAGATCTCATATCCTTGGAGGTGTCTCAGTCTTTATTTGTTTGATGAGGTTGTCTGTGACTACTTTAATCCTTTTCTCCAAACCAGGTCCTTTGATGAGAACGGCTATCACTCTGATAATCCATAAGCAGCTTTGCCCTCTCATTTGGGATTTATTTGCTGGAGTCAGCCAAGAAAAACATGATTCCTTATAGCATGTCCCAAGGAAGGGATTAGGTGGTAGTGGTGTTACCTGTCCCTTCCCCTTCCCCTTCCCCCCCCCCCCCCCCAACACACCCATACATCTGGGCTTTTTGGGGTTTCCAGTTGCAAGTGGGAAGTGTTTGAAGCTAGGAAGGTTGCTTTTGACACCTGGAGGCACATAGTCCAGGTAAATTGTATATGTTGGGAAGATATTTGTCCTTACAGAATAAATCTTAAGCATCTAGAGTATCAGGTAGTTGTGGTCACATAATTGCTGGCCAAATTTTTCTTTTTAGGGATTACTCCCAGAGGTGGGGGGAAATATGAGATTACTTTCCCCCTGTGACGGGGGAAAAAGATGTTAACAGGAAGTAGGGAGGTAGAACTAGAAACTTAACAAAGCACAGAACTTCATTTTTGTATTCTGGAGGAACTTGTGACCTGTGCCTTTTCTAGATCATTGCAAGTTTGAACAGGTTACTAAGAAAAAGCCAATCTCTTCTGTTGCTGGGTGGCATAATCCCTGCTGTCGGATCGCTCTACTGAATTGAGGAAGTTGGCCTTCTAAATGCCTATTGAATATCTTAAAAAGGTTAAAACACTAAGTATTTCTGGTTCAGGTAAGCAGTGTCCTAGTGCCAGTCAACGGTATTGCTTTTGGGTTAGAAGCCACATTCTTTGGTTGTGTTTCTTGTTCAACTACATTGTCAGTGGCTGCTAGTGGATTGACAGTTTGAGAGCCCAGAAGTTTGCTAATGGGAGAATTGCTTGCTCTTTTTTCACATCTTTCAGTCTGAGACTAAGTGAAGGTAAATGTATTGTCCCTTGCTCAGGTGTTGACCTTCATAGGGATCTTGTTAGCTTCCACAAAGGCTCCAGCTTGCCTACCTAGAATCTTATTTGCCAGTTCAGATGCAGGATGGAGTGAAGATCTATTTATTGCTTGTATTATACTTATCGTATCTTCTTAACTCTACTTAGTAGCCTACCTACCAACATGGCTTCTTGAAGCTGACAGGAATAGAAGGACCATTAGAAGAGGCTGCTGGATCTTGCCATTGCCCTTGAAATACTGAGCTCAAGGGTGTGCACACATCCTATAACTGCCAGTTATTGGTCATAAATGGTCCAGTGACCACCTGGACAAGGATTTGAGTCCTGCAGTGAGATTGCATGGATGTGCTAAATTTGGAGAGTGAGATTTGCTATTGGTATGAGTAATGCTCTTTTGTATGACTAAAGAAATGCCCTTTTTATATGACTGTAGAAACAATAGAAAACGCTGCTCTGGATCAGGGGTTGCATTTTCAGAAGGTGCAAAAAACACTATAATGCAGGTACCTGTCCATTCTCAGCTGCTTTTGTTCTTCTGAGTTCTTTGTAACAGAAGAATTGCTCTATTATTTTTTCCTAGTCAAAAACAGAGTGCAAACTAAGAACTGGCATTTTCCAAGAGGTCCCTTGAATCTGAAAGGTTGAAAATCACTGTTGTAGTGTTTTCCATTATTTCTAACAATGATTCACAGTAGTGGTTCAGAAAAAGGAAATGTTGGTGTAGATGAGATTTTTTTAAAATACTGTTCCGTATAGATTTGCTGGGAGCTGGCTTAAGAGCTTAATGTTTAAAATACCATTAATGTGCCTTGAGAGCTATCCACGTTGATGTTTCCACCGTGGATGAGCTTGTAGAAGGAGTAACAGTTGTCGTGGTGGGGAAAAATTTTTGAGTAGTCAATGTAAATGAAACAAAGTAGCACATGTGATACTTGCAGTTAGTGGATACTTAGAAGTTTTGGTAGGGGGTAGGCAATCCCTGGCACGTGTGCCAGAGCATGGCGCACACAGGCATTTTGCTTGGCATGTGTGTCTTGGGCAGATGGCAGGGGAGGGGCCAGGGTTGCTCACACAACAAGGATCACACCCCTTGTGGCTCCCCTGCTGTCTGCCCCTGACACACCAACAACTTACAAGTCAAGGTTGCACTCTGCCCAAAAACAATGCATATTGCCGTTTTGGTGTTGTTACATATACAAAATGAAGTGCAACACATGTACTCCTTTGAACGTTTAATTAACTGAACAACTTCATGAATATCACTGTCTGGTTTCATTTTAAACAAAATAACCTGTTAGTGTCTGAGGTCAAATGGCATTTTAACAAATGACTAATTGACAGAGTGAATATATACATGGGCGTTAAAGTAATATATATATAGGAGTAGTGGACCATTCTTCTTCATGAATAAAATCTACTCACAAATTTTCTCTTCCAGATTTGTACTATGGTGGAGAAGCTTTCTCTGTAGAGCAGCCACAGTCTTTTACTTGTCCTTATTGTGGAAAAATGGGTTATACGGAAACATCTCTTCAAGAACATGTTACTTCTGAACATGCAGAAACATCAACAGAAGTGGTAGGTAGAAGCAGTATTACCTGTTAATTATAGTGAAAATATATTAACATAATTAAAGCATTACTGTGTATTTATTACAAAATGTGAATTCCTGTCATTTTATTTTCTTGAAGTTTTTTTTAGAGGTGTGTGTGTGTGTTAAGTAACCAAGCTTGAGATGGCAATATTTGTAAATTGAAATGCAGTGCAGATTTTTTCATAGGTAATTTAATTGCATATGTACAAAAAGACCAAGTCACCATTACTGTTGGAAACTTAAATTTTGGATTACTTAAATCCAATAACAGTCAACTCGGCAGCTTAAATGTTGTAATCAGTGTTGTGTCTAATTCTTGGGTAGTCATTTGTTCGTTCGTTTTCTTTTCTTTTTCTTTTCTTTCTCCATTTCATATTTAGAAATTCTTTTTAACAGTGCTAGTATTTAGGTGATTTCAGCTGAGCTTTGGCATTAAGTTGATTGGGGTACTGGAGCAGCAAATTTAAACATGTTATATTAGCTTGAGACAGTGTTCTCTCAGTTTATGCTGCTGGTAAGTATGTTTTGGAAAAGATAAAATTGCCTTTTTCTTTAAGGACAGTTTAGAAATTGCTGAATATTTGCACAATGCAAATACATTCTAGAAATACTTTATATAATGGGACTTCAGTTTTTTGGGGGCCCAAAGTTTTCTTGTTCCAGATATTAAAGATGATCTTTCTTTGGAGGTTTTTCATATGTATTTGGAGTCATTTAGAATCTTCCTGATGCTAATGGACCCTGGCTGCTTTGCTGCCAAACCAGCCTGCTGCCCATCCTATGGACTGGAATAGCTGTGAAGTTATCCTTTTGTGGAACTGGGAGTTCAAAAAGGATGTACAGCTGATTTGTAAGAGCTTGATTTTAAACATTCTGATTTTCAATGCACCTAGCATTGTATTTGCATAAGTACTTCAGAAATTGATAAAACTTGTGCATGTCAACAATATATGTTGATATTAAAACAGATGTTACAATTAATATGGAAGAACTGATAACAATAACAGAAATATTTAATGAGGGAGCTTCTTCCTCTGAGCTTCTATTACCTAGTGTTCTGACTGACCTAACCGTGACATTCCCTTTGTCAAAGCAGCGAGACCAGCACATTTCAGATTTCTCCCCCCACTTCCACAGGAGAAATGATACTGTATGGGGGGGAAAAAAAGCCATGGCAGAAAAGAATTTTCCACGTGGATACTCTTGAGATTCCTATATTTGTGCATCATGTTTTAACAAGATTTGTTCTGGCTGCGATGAGGCTATTGTGGCCCTTCGCCATTGAGGAACAATCATTAGATCCAGCTGAGGAACCTGGGACTTGGCTAGTCGCGTATTTTATTGCATGATTCTGAAAACTACAGCAGTAGGCTGCATGGGTCATGTGATGTGGTTTGCTTTCCCTCCATCCCCTGGTCGCTTGATTTCCCGGTGGTTTCCGCTGTAACAGTCAGTTCACAACAACTCTTACTGTTCAGTTGTAATAGAGTACTGGGGACCTGTTCTGTTTCTGCTTGGCATTAATAAGCATCTGATCTCACAAAGCCATCACAACTAGGTGTGACAGTCACCTAAGCCAGAGGATGCTGCCAGGTCTGAACTTTTTTTGAATATGGGGGAAGAGCACTGCACTGTTACATAGAGGAGAGTATGCTTGGGTTCAAGGACAATTTGCAGTTAGTCTTTGCCTCTATAAATGGCTTGTACTTGACCTTTGTTATGATATTTAGGAATTAAAAGCTCGTGTGTAGCCATTAAACAGTTAGGAACTGATGAGATCTAAGTAACTTCTATTTTATAAAAGCTCATGGCTGTGTTTTACATTTCCTCATTAAAAAAATTATTGCTGTACTAGACAGTTTTCAGATCTTGTTCCTTGTAGTAGTAAAGGCTAAAAGTGCTGGTGTTGTGGATTCTTTTGACTAACTGTAGGCCACAGATGCGCAGGGGTCGTGTACTCATTGGCCCAGGAGACCTTTTCTCTTCCTGTGTTTCCTATCTTCAGCGATACTAGTTATCAGCAGTTCCAGGTTAAGGTCTCTCAGCAACTAGACGGGCAAGGTGCTCTCTCCAGAACAGGATGTCATTGTTAGATTCATGTGCAGATGCTGCTCACACTTCAGGAACATGTGGTGTAGTGAACCTAGTTAAGAGTTGTCCAGTTCTACTTTTGGCTGTTGGAGATTGATATGAAAAACGTGAAAGCTTGAAAGGATTACTTCCCATCCAATACATGGTAGAGGAATGACTCATCATCTTAATGTTTTTGCTCTCTTTTGATTCCTTTGTTTTAGTCCTTCTCCATGTTTGGAAGAACGTTGCAACCTTTTGGCATTTTACAACATATACAATTTAAAAAAACCCAACAAACTAGGCAAAAAATAATCAAAATACTCTAATGATATTGTGTCATTAGTCTGTTGTCATTACAATTAAATGTACATTTTTTACTTAGATTTGTAAAACAAAATCTTGTCTTCTGCATATCATGACGGTGCCTCCAATACTTCACTGTGGCCCCTGACAAACAGGCAAGTAAAAGTGCCATGGGATCTGATGCACAATCCTCTCAATTGTGTTTTCTGCCATGCCACACATGCCTGGCAGGAGGCATGGCTTGGGACTGAGCCATCAGATCCCATTGTGCCTTATTGCCAGTACATGGGGAGCTCAGGATTACAGTCCCCCTGTACCAGTGAGTAGCAAGCTTCCCTACCTGCCACAGATACACCCCTGGATGCATATCCCCCTTTTTTTAATCTCCTCCCATTCTCCTCCTCACCTCCCTAGGTTTAATTCAAACTTCCATTTTTAAATAACATGATAGCAGTTGACCCCCACCTCCTCCTCTCTCCCCCCTTCTTAAATTCCTTTCTATGGTGGATTTTGTATTGTAGTTCTTGATACCTGCCACTTGATGTCAGTGATACTTTCTAGTTTTTCAAATTGGAACTGTGTTTAAAATTCTTTATTTGATCACTAACTTTGAAGTCTACTTTGTGGTGTTTGGCACCTGCTGCTCCACTGATTTCAGTGCAAGTTCCAGGTTCTAGACTTCTCTGAAAATTAAATTTCTTCGTTGTTACCAGATCAGCTTCTGGTATTTCTTTTTTCATGTCTTTGTTTTGAGCTTGTGTTGGAGGAGGATATTTTCATCTACAGTATGGAAAGTATTTATTTTAATTTGATTACACAAAATGTCAGTAAATAGCTAATCTAGCATGATGCAAAGTCTTTTCATTGTAAGGGGATTTTGGAAGTGCCATTGTTTCTTTAAAAAAGAAAAGCATAGGCATGTTATTGAAGAAAGAATTCACAGCTATAATACTTTCTTATGGGCCTAGGGTTTGAAACAGTTATTTTTGCTTAGATATTGACCTTGAGTTAGGTTGTAAAATAGATATGGTAGTCAAAGATGTTTCATACTGAATAGCTTTCTGACTCTTAAGCCAGGGTTATAATATGATTATTTTACCCATAACTGTAAATTCTTACAGCAGTTGATTAAATTCAGTTTAACAAGAAGAAATCCTATTTGGTGCGTCCACATATGCAGGCATGTGAACTTGCCACAGTTCAAATAGGAGTGGCACAAATTGCACAGCTGAAGGACTGCCCTCCCCCCACAGGGCCCAAGGCTTACCTGCAGCAGCAGCAGCCATTGGGGTGCTTGGGCCCTCCTGGAACAGCCCTCCTGCACGGTGTGGGGCAGCGCAGCTCAGCCTCAGCTGCCTGGCACCTGGCTCTGCCTGTGCTTCATTGTGTGGGTCTGGTGCGGTGCCATGCAGCTCCGGGTGACAGCCCAAGCAGCCCAGGACCCTGTGCTGCTCATGGGGACTGCATGTCACGCTGGGCTTGGTCCTGTGTGCATGGAACCAGCCCAGCCTGACGGTGCATGGAGCCCGTGCAGGCAGGATCTGGCCTGGCATGACATGCGGTCCCCGTGAGTGGTGTGGGGCTCCGGGTGACAGCCCAAATGACCCAGAGCTGCCTGAAGATGCACCATACTGTGCTGGGCTGGGCCCACAGGATGGGGCACAGGCAGCTTCAGGAGCCTGGCAGTTGGGGCCAAACTGCACTGCATGGGGGGTGGGGCGGAGGCAGCTGTTCCAGGAGGGCCCTGAGGGGCTGGGGAGCTATGGACCATATGGGGGGTGGGTGCCCTGCCTCTGCAAGGAAGGCACCAGCCCCAGTGTTGCCAACCCAGCCACATAGCTCCCCACTGCCCCTGAAGGGCCCCCTACCGCCTTCCCCCTGGAGAGGCAGACACCTTCGCGCCTCTCCTCCTGCCTTGCTCCAGCCCTAGCACCCAGATGACTTCCTTCAGTGTCGGCAGGCCTCTCTCTGTCTCTGTGTCTCTCGCACAGCTGGGTCATGTCTATATGAGATGCTGACTGTGCAGTAGTTCATTATTACTGCACTGTAGCATCACATGGCATGAAGTGTTAACAAACTGCCGCTCAGTCAACATCACCAAGAAGCCGTTCAGGGATACTTCATACTTGTGTATGCAAGTACTAAATTATTGTGCAGTAACAACTGTGCATTCAGCATCTCATGTAGATGTGGACACACACCCAAGGCCTGACCCTCCAACCCCTGCTCCCGATAGACTTCCCTGTATCCTGGGCTGCTCCTACCACCCTGCCTGGCTGCTGTGTGGATTGACCTGTGTTGCCCCCTGCCTCTAATTGCCCTCCCCCTGCTACTCCCAGCCCCAGTCAGATCCTTGCTAAGGCAAGGTAGGAAGTGCTGGGAAAAACATTGATGCTGAGAAGAGCAAAATCCTGGACACTGGTTCATATTTTAAAAAAAAAGCCCAGATGGAAATCCGAGGACCCAAATAGAAAACATGTCTGGGAAAATCCAGATGTATAGTAACTGTAGGATAGCCGGATCCTGAAGTATTTTTAATAACTGAGCTTAAGGAAGTTGCATAGGGGAGATAAAATAGTCTTAGTGAAATGTTTGCTTTATCAGTTTATTTTTTGTGGAGTAGTTTTGGAAAATTTCTCTCAACATATTTAGATTTCTGATGAGTGGAATTCTTATTACATTTTTAAGTTTAGTGAGAGCTAATTTTAATTGAAGAGATGTTTGTATCTGGGTGAGAGGAATTACTTGTTCAAAATTAAGATCATGCAAATTCCCAAGGGTATCCATGTGCTGCAGATTTTGGTGATAGCTTCAGTATTGTAGCAGCAATTGCCATTTTGACTCCTGCTGTAGATGAAGGTGATCAAAAGGCAGTGGTCAGGACTTAAGTAGCTAATGCAGATCATAAAGGGCAGTTTTATTCCATCCCTCCTGGGAGTGCAGAAGGCTCTGACTGACATGAAGTTAGCTGTTGTTGCTGCAGCTGTAGCTGAATAAAATTGACTCATCCATGGTCAAAATCCAGAGTTCTCAGAATCAATGTTTAAAGGAGATGCAGACTTTTCTTTGTTGGTTCTAAGAAATGATGCTTTCAGTCCCCATCCATGTATACAGAAGGCAGGTAGCAAAATGGACCCACCTGTATGTCTTAATTGTGAGGTGCAGTTCTCTTCGTAAACACATTGGCAAGAATGCTACTTACACTGGAGGAAAAGTGGGACAGAAGAGGTGCATGGTCCCTGTTCTGATCTTCCTTGAAAGAGAAACACCAAAGATTTGTTACTTGTAAGTGCTAAGTTTTCTGTTATCTGGACTAATTTATGCATCTGATCGAAATATTGAGGCAGTGGTAGCAAAAACACGTGGTCAAGTCATATCTCCATGCTGCCCCTGAACTTACTTGGCTTTATTTGTTTCTTGAATTCCATTCAGAGTACTCTGACTTTTTTTTTTCTGCCTGCTGAGGAATTGTAACTTCTAGACAAACTCTCTCATGCTGGCTCCATGTTTTCAAGACTCTGCAACTGTTGATAGAAATTCCAGAGTGTTGCGTTAACTGGTGATTTTATTAGTGTCATCCTTGTTTGATGTTATAATAGTTTTTGTATAAGTTTACAAGCACTTTGCCACATTTATTGCAAGATGTGAATAATTCCTCTTTTTTATATAAAAATCTATTACCTTTTGGGTGCAAAAGACCATTCTACATAATTCCTGTTTAGTTTTCAGTCTTCTTTCTTCGGCAGTCCCTCATGGTCAAGGATGATTATTTTCCACGATTATCTTACCTGTGCATCTGAAGATGGCTGATGAGTTTTAAGTATTGGTGTTTTAAATGCTCTCTTCCTGCTGTTTCATTTGATCACTTTTCTTGTTTGTTGTGTTGTTTTGGGAAGTACTTCTTTATTAGGAAAATAGGGGCTATTTTTATGACAGCATTTTAGTAAACTGAGTAGCGCATGTCTGTGTTTTATTGTTACTTTCTGAGTGTCCGCTCCTGTTAGTTCTCTAGTGACTCACACTATAGCTTGTTAGATAAACTTGGCTGGAGAATAATAGTTGCCATCATCACTAGACATGGTGTCACTCAGCTGCTAAGCCTGCTGTACATGAATTTATGGGCTTTTTATTTACTCTGTTATTTTATTTCCCTTCCCTCCCCCCACCCCCAGTATTCTAGTTATATGCCCAGTCATGCCACCTTGTAATTTTTGCCTCTCTTTCAAGCTTTTGGGACAATGGCATGCCATCTTTATGATGATGATGATGATGTTAATGTAACATTTTCCTAAGCAGAACTTTTTCCTTATCCCAGTTTTGCTATTAATTATATTGCTTTCTGTCCCCCCTTCTTCCCCCACAGGTATATAGGAATAGCATGAAGCAGGCTAGCCTAGACGTAACTTAGTAAATATATTGCGTTTCTGTAAACAAGTTTGCCTATAAAGTGCCACCCTGCCCTGCCTTCTTCTTGACTTCAGATTCACATCACTAACTACCTCTCTAGTCAGCATATAATCCCCAAAAGCAATAGTCTTAATTCAGTGGTGCTCAATGTTTTGGCTCAATCTGGTGTGAGTAAGAAGGTAGGGTAGGAGAAGTGGAATTGGGCACCAGGATCGGGCTGCTCTGTACCATCTTGATTGGCCCCGCTCTGCCCATGTACTCAGTTTAGAGCCATGTTGTTTGGCCCATGGGACTCTCCCTGGATTCAGAAATTTAACAGCAGGGGAGCACAATTTACTTGCCACCAAATTTTATAATTACTGCCCTGCAAACTGTTTTTTGAATTTTTTTTAGGTCAGTTCCTCAGTCCCATTTTGCTCTGAAATGTGGATATTTTGGCAGGTAAACAAACATATCAGACTAGTGATTACAGGTGACCTGCCCAGACAGGGCAGTGTAGCTTTGTCCATTTTTTTCTTCATGGTGTATAAATGGGACCTGTGTCCTCTCTTCATGTTTTCATTAACAGTTCAGGTCTCCTTTAGTTCTGTCTACACTGGACTTTTCCTAAAGTTTCCCAGTGTTGCTAGCACTACTGTAAACAAGGCACTTTAAAATACCTTTGCTTGCTTTGTTCACACTTTTTTAGGTTTACTGTTTCTTCTACAATAGGAAATTTGGGAAGAAAAGTTTAGAACAGAGAGTGAAATTACAAGTCCAAGAGAGTGAGTGCTCAGTTGAGAGGACAGATCCATAGTCAGCCATTAAAACATCTTGTATTAGTCTGTTCAGAATATTTGTATGTTTCTGAAATTTAAAAAAAGATGCAAAAACATCCTTGTATTTTCTTAAGATAGAAAAAAGCATCCTGTCACCCCTTCTCCCTCTTCCCCTCCACCCCTCAGCCCTCCCTTTGCCAATCCCAATTTGTGCTATTACTGCAAAGCTGTAGCGTTATTGGTCCATTTGCTTCCTGGACCCTCTTTCTATGCTCAGAATAGATCTAGACTAACTCAGTACCGTAGCCTTTGTTCCAGCCAGGGCTGGAGATGAAGTGCATGCTCTTATCCTCTAGATTGAAATTCATGGCTTACTACTGCCTCTGAATTGCTCTTGGGGACAGAGTAGTGCATTCAGGGATAGTAGAGGATCTGGGAATGCCCTGGCTTGCTCTCTGTAACTGGCCAGATATTAAAATTGTCATGGAATACATTTATATCCCAAAGAAGTTGCTGTTTCAACCAGCAACTTCTTTGTGGTAGATGTGCCTCTTTATCTTGGGATAAATTCCTTTAACATCTGGAATGTTAAGATTTGTCGTGCAAAAGTTGCATCTAACCTGTAACAAATATAACATCTTCCAGTGCCCTACATGTCTTTGTGCAGAGCAACAGCTCCAAAAACTGGGCTGCTGCCACCTTCAGGGCAGCCCCAGAAAGACGAGAGGAGGTGTGATGAAAAAGGATAGTAAATAGTTGGACCCGAGCTATACCACTCTTTTGGGCTGAATGGAAGTGTTCTTGCAGGCTCCTCGCTTTGAAGGGTGCAGTATGGAGCAGCCTGCAAATGCTACTCTAGAAGCAGAGGCATATGAGGTGGTTCTTTTCTTGCCTCTAATGCTATCTTAGGGAGGATACTTCTTCAAATGGTATCAGTGATAGCTAATGAATATCCATATCTTCTTTTGTATCCTTCCTGCAGAATGAATGGGAAAGTGCTTGTGCCTTCCAAGAGCACTGAATGAAGCTGTGGATGTCACTGGGCTGGTGCACCAAAGCAGTTAGTACGGTATAACCTCATAAATCCCAATATCAAGAATCCGGAATTCTCAAAAATCTGATACGTTTTAAGCTTCCCCCTCTGCTCCCCTGGTCACAGAGGGGGAAGCTTGCACATGGCGGCTGCCACTGCCATCCAGCACCCTGCTCCACATGCAGCTGCTGCTCTGGTTTTAAAAATCCAGAATTTTCCAATTTCCAGCGGGTGCCTGGTCCTGAGCATGCCGGAGTTATGAGGTTATACCGTAACACTGAGTGAAAGCAAGCCTTTCCCCTCTGCATACAAATTAGCATACAGCAAATGGCTTGGAAACTGGGGAGTTAGTCAGAATTTGAAAGCAAATTTTACTCTGGGTGTTCGGTGTGTCATTAAAAACTAATGAAAAGGGGGAAAAGTAGCTTTTAAAAACTGATTTTGAAATTTGTTTTTCTTTGAGCACTTCACTGCATTCTTCCTGTGGCTGGCTACCTACCTACAGCAATTAAACTTGATTTTTAAATTAAGGTAGTTAACATTAAGAGATTGGCCCAAACCGGTAAGTGCATTGTATTGTTTATGTGTAAACGTTAAACTTGTTTTTCTGACTGTCATTTCAGATCTGTCCAATATGTGCAGCATTACCTGGAGGGGATCCTAATCATGTCACAGATGACTTTGCAGCTCATCTTACACTGGAACACAGAGCTCCTAGAGATTTAATATCCTTTTCTCAGTCAAGAAAACAAGACAAGGCTGTTACCTCTAATAGTAATAGCTACTTTAATTGTACCAAGCAGGTAGTGGCATCTCGGTTCTACTTGCATGTTACAACTGCCACGTCATTCAGTTGTTGGAGGAACTTGACATTAAGTAGAGCTAAAGAAGAATGAAATGTCATAATTTAAATGCACTGCAGCCTGTGTGTGTGTGTGTCATGAGTGTCATGACCAATGTTGAAAAAAAGGCTGTGGCTTTATTTGTTAGAGTTTGTTGCATCAGACACACACTGAAATAAGCTTCATAGAGGTGAGTGAGGTGTTTGATTAGAATAGGATAAATATTCTCTGCCCTTCTTCTCCTCGCCCTTCACCAGCTTTGCTATATCTCCACCAAGTCTATTGCATTTATGTTATGACCTGTGGGTCTGAACATAGATGTTTATCACTGGTGGTTCCTCCCTGCTCGGTTGAGGCTCCTAAAACCATGGGCAGAAGAGGGGACACTATCCTATTTTAGGACTTCGTTCAGGAGCCAGCTTCCATCGCTATAGTCACATCATTAGAATCATGGAAGACAACTCTTGGAAGAGCAAGGAGAGATCATGACGTTAATAGCAGTGGTGCAAACATCTGTGAGCACGCCGTAACAATAGGCAGGCTGAAACACAGCTTTTGGTAGGAAGCATCTGGTTTGTACCTCTTCCCTTCCCCCAGCCATACTGTTCAGACTTTTGCTGTTTAATACTCTTTATCAAATAACTTCATGTTTTCTTAACTGTCTGGTTACGATGAATCCAGTGGTGTTCGGCATGTTCGTAGAATGTTTCACCCAGGCCGGGGATTGGGGGGTCCTCGCGCACGTAGATCAAACATGCACTTTACTAGCAGTTCCACTGGTGGGCTTTCATCTTCGCAGAGTTCATATTCTCCAAGCAATAGGGAAGCCATGGATCCTATAGCTGGTAAGAATCAGTCTGCGTTGTTTTTCTTTTGCAGTGTTTCTCCACACTTAGTTGTAACATCCAACATAACGATTGCCCAGCTTTTTCCTATGTCTGATTTGTTTAGAGGTATGTGTGTACTGCTTGCCCCGGGGAGAAGGTTTAAATTGATGTGAGTACCTAATTGGAAGGTACAGTTGAAAGCCATATGAGGCAATCCCGTACGTCCTTGGGCACCCGAATGGCAGACTGGTCACCGCTCTTTCTCTTGATTTGATGCTGTTACACTTGTCCCATTAGCTAGTAAAAGTGATCAAATTAGCTCCTGGGAAGTATGTTATGGCACAAATATGGTGTATGTGAAATGCAGCCTAGCTAGTATCTCAGGGGAATCTGTTTGGAGAAACAGGTCAGAACCCATGTTGAGAGAATCACAACCTTGTCTTGACTTTGCTTGTCTGAACAAATGCAGTTTTCTGAGTGGCTTTTTCAGAGGGATTTGCGTAACCAAAGGAGAGTACAATGTTTTCAAATCTATAAAGCTTAAAATTACGCCAAACACTGTATTTGTAACAGTGCCCTTGGTGGGTTGTCTGCAAAGATTGAACCAGGAACTTCTGAACTTAAAACATTTTTTTTGGCTTATGCTTTAATACCAGAGGGTTCTGGTCTCATTCCCACAGGCCACCTGTTCAAAGTTTCAGAACTCCATTTTCTACCTCAGTCTCAGTGGGTCCTGAATCTAGTACATTTCACATGTATATAGGTACTTTTGGGGAGACTAGATATATTGGATCTATGCAGAAAGCAATGGCTGTATGACATCAGTTGTAGGGATGTACTTGTTACATCTACATGCTCCTGTAGTGGTATAAGTGAGGTAGATAGCTGTCATTTTAACGCTACAGGAAATGGTTACTGACAAAAAAGGCTTTGTTTTGTTCATATGTCTGTAGAAATGATGCAACTCTTACAGTTGCTTATGCTACTTGCACTCCAGTGTCAATGGTTTACATCTGTCCACAGATAGGTATAAAGCTGGGCAGAGCCAGAAGTGGCCAGCATTTTGCACTTACAGGATCATGCATCTTTTCCATGCCATGCCTGTTTAGGTGTGGGGTTTGGAGACTGTATTGTAGACAGCATGAATCTTTTTTTTCCAAGCTTCCTTATCTTAATCTATATCTGTCTAGAAGACTCCCTACTGGGGGCAGGGAGTGAGTATTTGAATGGTCCAGAAGCCAAAGGAAAGTTCAAAAGAAAGCCACATTCTTGTGTAGGGGAGTGCAGTGCACCTTGGCTGAAGGCCTTTACCTTTTACTTCACTTAGTGGTTGCTTGCAGTGGGTTGAAAGAGCTGTTGAAGTGATAACCTGCCTACGGTCCATATGAGCAGACAAATTACTGCAGCTAAGGTCTAGGTAGGCCACAAAATAGTCCTTATGAATGTGTGGGCATTTTGTCCTGCCTTCTGCATCTCTCTTCCCTATTAGACTGCCAGCTATGTCTTCCCCCTCAAGTCAGGAGTATCTTTAGTTTTCTGGTGTTCATGACGTGTATAAGTAGTTTGAATTAACCTTGACTGGAACTAGCTTAAAATGAATAGTTAAAAGACACGTTGCCATATTTGTTTAAATATAAAAAAAATACTGGCAAAAATGTAGCAGTGGTTGAAACAAACTAGCAAAAGCCATGAAATTATTGTCAACCTGCTGCTGCTTTGTTATGTGAGCCTATCTTGTAGGTATAACATCTAGATCAGTGGTTCTCAACCTTTTTGACCAGGACCTATTTGTAAACATGGATGGCCAGTCCCGACCCAGTGCCCCTCACTCCCAATGCACTGCCCCCAGGCTCCAGCCCCCTAGTGTATGGAGCAGAGGGCATGGGGGGCCCCAAGCAACCCCTTGCAGGCTGGAACTTGGTTTCCCATGTTTTTCTCCTTTAAAGGAGAATCCATTTTCAGAGTTCATTGATCTATTTTTAAAGCTTGTTCATGACCCTTTCATATATTCTTGTGACCTACTTTTGGGTCGTGGCCCATGGGTTGAGAAATGCTGATCTAGATTGTAGGTGTTTCAATGCCTACATTGAAATGGTTGTAGATAAGAGGGAAACATCTGTCAGTATAACAGATACATACCTGAAACTGTATCCCAAATAGTAAATATAGTGCAATATAGTAATAACTGTCTTTTTTCTTTTTTTATTAGGGTCTTTGTTCTGCCGTTCAGTTTTGTTTCCATTTGCTGGACAATCAGCAATTTGTGCACAGCCAAATTACACTGTAATATTTCAGTACAGTTCATGAAAAGAATAGTGGCAGCAGCTTGTGGTGGCTAAGTAGGGCTATAGAAGTGGAGTGAAGGCATGCATTCTGCCAGTAATGGTCACGGAGTTCATCTAAAACACTTGTAAACCAAAACTTACATGAGGGGCTAGAACAAGTTCTTTGGGGCTTTTTTGGTTTTTATTATTTTTAATCTACTGGTAAATAAAGTTTTAAAATTCTGTTGCTCATGTTTATCATAAGATAAATTCTCTCACGGGGCTGGTCAGTGATTAAAGTGAAATTAAACTTTAATTATTGCTAGTGGTAGTACTAATCTTGGTAAGCATAGCTGTGCTGAGTAGGATTGCATTATTTGCCCGCTGGCTGCTGGTATTTGGCAAGCTCCTCGCACAGAGCTTGTGCATTCTGCAGCACCCAGGCAGGGAAGTTTAACTTTGGGAGTCATAATCTTGAATGTGACCAAAAGAAAAGTGGGGTGAAAAAGTCAACGTGACCAATAATATTAAGCTGCAGTGGTAATTATTTTAAAGGGAAGATTGAAAAATGTGTGGCAAAACTTCTTCCTCCATTTTTCCTGCTCCCTTCCCAAACCAAACACAGCTAATCCAGCAGTGCCCACAAAGGTTTGGAAGGCAGAATAAGTTCTATAGTAATACACAGAACCAGACTTTACTACTAAAACTTTATTTTTAGATTATTTTTGATGTAGATAAAACTTGCTCTATACTCCTCCTCAGTTGAAAAGATTGCGTGACCCCTGCCCAAAGCCAGACAAGTCTTCATTTAGTTAGACCCTCTCCGTATATCTGGGAGTTGGTACCTTTATTAGGTCAATCTGAGAGAAGGCACAGAGTTGGAAAAACAAAGCCTTTGGTTTTTGTTCCCGACAGAACTTAAGTAGCGTACAGTATTTGAAAAATGTTTTCTGAATCAAATCTTCTCCAAAAATATCTGACAGAAGTGTTGGCAGTGTCACTTTAATTTTTCTCTACAACACAACTTCCATCTTGAATACCATGGGAATAAAGTGCATTTGTTTAGAGAGAGACAAGGCACTGACTTCAGCCAAAAATGAAGTGGTTGCCAAGGCGACAGCTGCCTTGATTAGAAGATAACTCTTTAAGAAATAGGCAGCCCATGTATTCACCTCGGGACCAGTCCTTCATACATAGGAAGTGCCCTTTCTTCTTAGTTGTTTGTAAGGTTTCAGACTTTGAATTTCTTGACCATAAAGAGATTCTCGAGTGCGACTGTTCTTGCAAAGCCCCATGCCCACCCCCTGCCCCTCCCATTGACCATATATAAGCATTTAATAAATTTTGAAGTATTTTGGAAAGGCAGAAGTAATGCACTGATGCTTGGGAAGTATGTGTACTTTTGAAGCAGGTTTCATTGTGGTGCTTTTTCTCCTCTTCACTGGCAGAGCTTTTATCTCAGTTATCGGGGGTGAGACGTTCTGCAGGAGGACAGCTCAATTCCTCTGGCCCTTCTGCTTCTCAGTTACAGCAGCTGCAGATGCAACTGCAGTTAGAACGACAACACGCACAGGCAGCACGACAACAGCTGGAGACTGCACGCAATGCAACCAGGCGCACCAATACGAGTAGCGTCACCACCACAATTACACAATCTACAGCAACAACCAACACATCTAACACAGAAAACAGTCAGCAGACTATCCAGAATTCCCAGTTTCTTCTTACAAGGTAACTCATTCTAGAGTCTCAGTGGTTTTATTATTTTCCTGTGCTATCAGTAAACTTGGTTCTCACCTGGCAAGGAGCTTAAGCCACCTACCTTTCAAGTGTAGAAGTCATCACATTAAGTTTAAGCACATGTGTAACCCTATTTAAGTTCAATACATGCTTCAGTAATGTACCGAGTTAGGGTCACTGACTGCAGTTAAACCTACCCCATTCACCATGTTCAGTTCTTAAAACAAAGTGAAATAGACAGTTAGGACCAGGTCCTGTTCCACCTAGTAGATGCTTAAAAGCCATTTAGATATTTGTGCCTAAATGCAATCCTCAGATTTCTGAAAACTGCTAATGCATGTGATGCTTTAGTAATGTGCTTTCATCTCAGTATTGAGACAGTTGCAGGTAGTAAGAACCCATCCACCTTTTCTGTTAATGGTTTTCAGAGATGCAAAATCGCTTTTAGGGATCCTATTCCATCCATTAAGAACTTAGGTTCTTAATGGGTGGAATAGAATTTAGCCCTCAATTATTGTTCAAAATATGCTAGGGTTCAACAGGCCTGCAGTTGCTTAGTGTCCCTTTGCTTTATAACTCTACTTGAAACCTTGGCAAAATGTTTAACTTCTACTTAGCACTGGTGTCATGAGCAGTAAGGAATAATCCCCATTAAAGCATTAGTTTTATCTACTGTTAAATGTACGTGCTTGATCTGAACATAGGATGGGAGAATGGCTGAATGCCATTACTGCACCCAAAATGCTAGGGCAGGGTTGAATATGACATTATATATACTTTTATAATAATTTAGTATATTGTTTATTGTTGCTTATTTATCGATTAGAAAATGAGGTTTTTCCTCCCATTTAATGTGGTGGGGCGAACCCTCTATTTTGGAATCTAGCATGAGGCAGAAAGGTGCTGGGGGGTGGCGACAGTGGCAGCTGCTGCTCCAGCCCCAAACTTGGTTGGGGTTGGATTCTCCCCCGCAGCCTCTAGTCCCCTTCCCCCTATCTGGCATCCCTGTCCTCCCATGTCTGCTCCATGCCCCTCCCCTGCCTCCTCCCTCCCTGCTACCAAGCAGCTGTGCTGGCTTCACATGCCTGATGCTAGAGGGCTCTGCTGGGGATGGGCCTGGAGATGTGAGTGCAGAGCAAGGTTGGGGGTAGGCAGTGGGGAGAGACTTCTGGAGGAGGAGGAGATGGGAGTTGGGAAGAAGGGGGAGCAGGGACCTGAGTTTGTAGGTGGCAGAACCAGCATGGAGGGGGGAGGAGAGGAAGGGAGAATTGGGGCAGCTTGGGGCTGTGGTGCAGGGGAGGGGCAGGGACAATTGAGTGGTAAGTGGAGTTGGGGAGGGGGACAGGCAGCAGTGAGCAAAGTGCTTGCTTCTTTCACTGGCTGCCCCCCTACCACCTGCTTCCCACTGCCTGCCCTCCCATATGCCCCACTACTACCTCCCCTTACTCTCTGTCCCCTACCACCTGCCCCACTGCTGCCTCCCTCATCACCTCTCCCCTAAATACCTGCAATAGTTGAGGGCAGGGCAAAAAATATGATCCTTCAGTAATTAGATTCCATACATGGAAAACTATAATACATTCATAAATTTTCCACATACTGAATCTAATTATTGGGTTGTCTTACATTTGGGTAAATAATGGTAACTACTTCACCCTGTTAACCCTGTGATTTACAAAATGACAACATAGATTAGAGAAAAACTTTACGTGATGGGTAGCATTTAAAAACCACTGTTTTGTCCCTGTTTTTGAAAAAAAAGATAAGAGCAGAACCAGGGAATTAGACTCAGTTGGTTATTGTTTGTGATCAGTCTTGGGGCTTTTGGGGGTTCTCCTATCGCTCCTGCCAAACGTAGTCCCAAAAGTTGATGACAGGAGTACCCACCCAGTGAAGTTTCCTGGCAGGGTCTTTTGCTTGTGTCTCTCGCTTTTAAGGAGGTGGTTGAGATTATGATGGCATGTGGATTTACAACTGTTTCCTCTGCTGACACATTCATTTTATGTAGACTGAGGAGAGGAAATGATTCTTAAAAGTTTCCACCTCAGCCATCTTGTTCTCCCAGACAGTTCTAGCTGCAATTTTTGGCTGGATCCTCAGTGAAATTTGAGTAAATACAAACCAAAGTATTTCTGTTTCATCTATAGAAATGCCAAGGCTTATCTACACCTGATATCTATTAACACTGCTCACTGTTTCTCTAGCATCTCTAAGAGGCATGAAGAGCTATTACTTAGAGAAACTTTTATTGGCTTT